TCGGGAAGGGAAGGGGGGAGACGGGGCAGCACAGTCCAGAGCCGGGCCCGGGAAGCGGGAGTGACTCAGGGGAGCCACTCCCTAGGATCTCCCAGGGTATATCCATTGGGTTAGTGGAGTACAGATTTAGTCTGGCAAGTTTCTGTCTAGATGGCGTAAGCAATAAAAGAACTGAACTTGGTTGGATTGTTTCCCTCTTGTTCTTGGGCCTGACAAGATTTGAGCTCTGTTCCTCCAGCCTCACAAAAGGATTTCCCCTCCGTGTATGGAGGGGAGGGGAAACCCTTTGGTGGGCTGCAGGAACATTTGAGAGCAAAAGGGCTGCCTGCCAGGAGGATTTCAGCTCCATGCACATTTGTACTTGGATTGCAGTTATTGAGTAACGCAGTCACGTGGGTGTCTCACTTAATGACCGCTTCACTCAACAATCGAGATTCCAGTCCCAATTGTGGTCGTTAAGGGAGAACTACCTGTAGTCTTTTAAAACAAGCCTCATCTCTGTTGCAAGAGAATAAGCTAAATCAGAAGTCTCTTGATAGGTCCATAAAGGAGGCGTGGCTTGAACCCTGGTATCTTTCCATCATACTGGCTGGATAATATTTCAGTGCATGGAGGCCTGGATAATATGGGTCCTACTTCATTATGTTATGTGTAAATCTGATGGATTCCCCTCTCCTCTGTAGTTTTGATGAAATGGCTGTGTATGACCTTCCTGCTTCAATAAACTTTATACTGAACAAAACTGGTCAGGAGCAACTCTTCTACGTTGGCCATTCTCAAGGCACCACGATAGGTAGGTTAGCAAACTACTTACTACACATTGGCAATTTTAATAGCTACACAGGTGAAGTTGAATTTCATAATGCTTATCCGTGAAGAAGTAATTACACTGAACGCAGGTAAATGATCACCTTGAATAGTATTCCTCAATTTGATGTTTTCCAGATGTGTTATGACTGCAGCTTATGGAATGTATAACCTGGAGGGCAAAGATTAGGAAAGACAGATTTTAAGTAATGGAAAGTATGTATGTATGAAGGCTTGAATGAGGAGTTTAAAGTTTTGAAGTGGCTCTGGACTGAATTAAGATATCTTGGACCATTTGAATGCCCCAACTTTAGTTGAAAAAACTGGGAGGAGAGAAGAACTCTATAAAGTGATGTATGGAATATAGTATGTCTGCACAATTTGTTAAATCCTCCTTTTTTTGTTGCCTGCCTATTTTAAAAATGGCATCCCTTGTGTAACTAGTGGATCACTGATGAAAAACGAAATCCAGCTGTTCACAGCAGAAGAGGTTACACATCCAAATTCAGAACTTCTGAATTTAATCATTTTAAAAGCTGCTTTGGATTGATAAAGAAAAATGAATTAGAAATTCATTTAGACGGACAAACTAGTGGATCACTGATGAAAAACGAAATCCAGCTGTTCACAGCAGAAGAGGTTACACATCCAAATTCAGAACTTCTGAATTTAATCATTTTAAAAGCTGCTTTGGATTGATAAAGAAAAATGAATTAGAAATTCATTTAGACGGACAAACTAGTGGATCACTGATGAAAAACGAAATCCAGCTGTTCACAGCAGAAGAGGTTACACATCCAAATTCAGAACTTCTGAATTTAATCATTTTAAAAGCTGCTTTGGATTGATAAAGAAAAATGAATTAGAAATTCATTTAGACGGACAAACTAGTGGATCACTGATGAAAAACGAAATCCAGCTGTTCACAGCAGAAGAGGTTACACATCCAAATTCAGAACTTCTGAATTTAATCATTTTAAAAGCTGCTTTGGATTGATAAAGAAAAATGAATTAGAAATTCATTTAGACGGACAAACTAGTGGATCACTGATGAAAAACGAAATCCAGCTGTTCACAGCAGAAGAGGTTACACATCCAAATTCAGAACTTCTGAATTTAATCATTTTAAAAGCTGCTTTGGATTGATAAAGAAAAATGAATTAGAAATTCATTTAGACGGACAAACTAGTGGATCACTGATGAAAAACGAAATCCAGCTGTTCACAGCAGAAGAGGTTACACATCCAAATTCAGAACTTCTGAATTTAATCATTTTAAAAGCTGCTTTGGATTGATAAAGAAAAATGAATTAGAAATTCATTTAGATGGACAAAGTCCTCTTTGCCTTAATGACGCTAGCTATAAACAGTGTAAAAACTATAAAAGATGAGATACTGCTTGTATGGAACATGCAGCTAGTGTTCTTATATTGATTTTGTTCAACCATGTTGTTTGAGATCTATTCCTGTCTTTGTGTCTCTCCCTCCTCCAGCTTTCGCTGGATTTTCAGCTTTGCCACAGCTGGCAAAAAAGATAAAAATGTTTTTTGGGTTGGCAGCCGTTGCTACTGTAAAGTTTTCATCTGGCCCTTTGGCCAAACTTGGACTGCTTCCTGAACTGCTGGCCAAAGTAAGTGTTTTGTTTGAAATGTTTGCTGAAATCACAGAGTGCAAATATTAGGGGATGTAGCTAAATACTACATTTTTTTTTCTGTAAATACTTGAAGGAAAGACCAACATGCCTTTGAAGGAAAGTCTTAACAAGGAGCCCACTTTTAAACAAACACTGCCTATGACTTGAGATGTTCTTGGGCATCTCAGATGATTGTTGTCTATTCTCCCTACTCCTCTTTTCCTCGCAGTAGTAGAGAAGAATGAGGTTGAGTTGAGAGAGAGAGAGAGAGAAAGTGGTCCAAAGTCACTTTTTGAAGATGTCAATCACTCCAAAAAAACTATTGAAAGTTGTCCAGCAGAGATTTGGGGGGGGGGGGACCTCCAATCACTCCATATGGGGATTCTTGACCTTGTTACCTTTAAGGGCCCTGTTGTGCAGAGTCTTAAAATGACTATAAAGTAGGGGAAATCCTCATAATTTAAGAAACATCTGAGCTGCTATAGATTAGATTTAAGTTTGGGTGGAATATAGGAATTGAATTGTATTTCAAAAAAATGTTGAAAGCACTTCCTCTTCCGACTGAGATATTTAACTCCCAACTTATCTCCTTCTGGTGCAGACAAAAGCTTATGAGTTAAGCTAATCAAAACCTTGGTCACAGCCTTGCATGGATAAATTAAAAAACTAAATATTTATGCTGTGACCTACTTCTAGAGGACTTGTTCCAACTTGCACACTCAGGATTATTGCATGTTGTTTTATTAAGCTTTAAAGTTAATTGACATTCTTGGTAGTGATGCCAGTCATGTAACACTAGAGATAATTTTTGCTGTCAACTGGCTGTGGCTTGATTATTGAGCATGCTTTTGTAGGGCAGAGTTTACACTGAAGTACCATGAGATCAATATTAAAGCTATTGCTGGAAGATGTACCAATGCTTCCATGGGATGTATAAAATAAGCAGACTTTGATGATTCTGTAATTATAATATTTACCTTTTAAACAGTATACTATAGTACATTGGTTTGGGTCATTCTGCCAGTTGTAGATTGAGAATGAGAGATGATCAGTTGCTTCAAGTTCTCTATTGAGCTGGTGCCTGGAGAATACTTGAACTGAGGGTTGTGTGTTTTGCCTGTTGTTCTTACTACTGTGCAGTTCCACTGCCAACATCCTTGAAAAGATGAAGTACCCTCTTCAGATTGAAAAAATAATTACTGCTGGTCTTCTTGGCATAGGGATGGCCGTTTCAGTCTCACTGAAGTAGCCATGAAGACCCTGCTCAGATGGATTTATCTGCTGAAATTAATATAGAACTGGAGTGCACGGATTTTGTGCAATGTCCAGAGTGCCTCCAAAAGCTCTATTTTTTATCAAAAAAATGATTATACTAATTCTATTGTATTAAATCAAATGTAGTATTTTCACTGTGTCTTGGCCTCAGCTTCTTTTTAGAATATGGGTCCCTTCTAAGGCCCGCCCAAATTGCAGACTTCTGGACTAAATCATTGTTTTGAAAAAGGTAAATGCAAACATCCCCAAAAGCTCTTGGGGAAAACAGAGCTCTTTAAAGCAGATAGAGTAGGAACATGAAATATAGGACACAGAATAATGATCTAACGTTACAGGAAGACAAATTCTGGTTAAATATTAGGAAAAACTTCCTAACACTAAGAGCAGTTCAATCACAATATATTGGATATATGAAATAAAATGTATTTTTAAATTTTTGGGTGGTTTTCCATGTTGAAAGAAAATTAATAGATGTCCCTAATTAACTTAAATAGATTAACTAGATTAACTTCTACCCTAAATGGTAGAATTGACATTCCTTGAATTGGATATGTAGTAGTTTTATGTCTGTTAGTGGCTAGGGGGATTCATAACAGCAAGGAACAAAATGGTTTGCTTTGGACCAGCATAGGTGAATCCAGCCATTAAGACCTAGTAGAGCAGTGTTGTCCAAACTTGGCCACTTTAAAGATGAGTGGACTTCAACTCCCAG